TAGACGTACTTGTAAGTCTATGATATAATTTTTGGTTTAACTATATTGTTTGCTAATAATTGTAGATGTACTTGTAAATCTATTTTATAATTTTATCAAACATGAAATTTTTGTTTGCTAATTATGTAAACCATATTTTTTTTTGTAGGAGATGGCTCAATTACTCATTGTATACAGAGAATGGGTGGTGAAAAACTCTATATGTGTTAGTGTTATATGTCGAACTTATGAGTTGTGTATTAGTGTTTCATTGCTTTGAGTTGTCTTCTATTGGATTTGTAGGTCTTTAGTCTGTGTTGAACTTGTGATAGACTTATGTTATATTTTTCTTTGTCAAGTAATAAGTCTACACGAAAGAAGACTAATAAGTAACATCACTTTTTTATGGCTCCAATAGTAGTCTTTTATTTTAGGTTTCTTAAAAAAACTGATTACACAAGTCTATACAAGTAAGTCTACACGAAAGAAGACTAATAAGTAACATCACTTTTTTATGGCTACAATAATAGTCTCTTATTTTAGAGTTCTTAAAAAAAATGATTACACAAGTCTACACAAGACTAAGTCTACACAAGTAAGTTTGTAATTGCACTTCCAATGCTCCACTCAAAACATTGGGCTCCCATGCAATGTCCACTTAAAAGCTCTCTCTCCAGGCTTTGCTCTGCTTCAGATACAGAGGATTCAGAGGATGTGTTAAAGTCACTAGGATTGTCGTGGTCATCATCACTCCAAGCTCAGCCATCCCTAGGAAATTGAAAAGAACATTCAACAAAGAGGGAAGCATATTCAGACCACAGAAGCTAAGGAAGGAAAGAAAGGAAACAACAATTACCATATGCATTTCCGATCTCGTTGATACTTGAGATTGAACAGACGACGACCAGACAAACGGCAAGCAGGAACCAGTTAAGGACAGGTATATAAATTTGACCCATAAATTTCCGAGACGTGTGGATGATTTTGAGACGAGGGAAACAGCCCAGAGCTGTTGACTGTTTAATACATGAAAATGTTGCTGTCGTCATTGTGCGACTGGCAATCAGAGCTGCAACATTGGCTACGAAAAGGACGGGCCAGAATGCGGCACCTGCAGAACAGAATGATGAATCAATCATTAATACTAGTATAAAGAATAAGTCAGTAACCTGCAGCATTGAAAAAGCCTTTGCAGTAAGAGGTAAAGAGGAATTGATATGACTGAGGAAGTAAATGAACTTTACCTGGAATAGATGAATAGAAAGCTTGACTAGCATCTGCATGATTCTCCATCAGGTACGCAGCTTGTCCCATATAGCCCAACATGAGGCACGGCAGGACGAGACACACAAACGTAAGCTGGAGAAAACAACAACGAATAAATAAATCAACGTTGCAGAAATTAGAGCAAAAATGCATACAAAACGAAAAAAGGTATTTGAGCAGGTTGTGAATTCCAATACCAGCAAGACAACAGAACCATATAAGTAAGGCCGGACCTACTACTAGTCCCATCTTACTCGTCCCATACTTTTGCAGACTGAACAGAATCACCAGAAATGCAACTGAAATCATCACCACTTGATCTGCAAAGAATAAACACGAGAAAGGTGAACACTATCAAAAAATAAAATTACCAAAAGAAAACACTAGCAAGTAAAGCTTCGAAGTTAACTACACTATCACATGCGCTTACCTTGCTCAACTGCTTCAACTCCAACCTTAAGTCCACCAACAGCTGACATCACTGCAATACAAAAAATCAAGCAACTCAGATAAGTCCACATGGTAGTAGAAACCCCTTTGCTAGATACAACAGAGTAATGTCTATGAACATATTTAGCACGAACCTGACATTGCAGGAGTAACAACTCCATCGGCAATCACCATGGCCGTTCCAGCAAGAACAAGCACGAGGAGAAGTTTCTTCAGAATCAACGAATTCTCCAGCTTTTCTTTCAGATTTAGTGATCTCTCAAGCTCAGGGCAAGGCACAGCCAACCTATTTCAACCATAAAACATAGACAAAATCAATTATTTACGTGAATAACAAACATTAGCAAGTAAGTAAACTCTCTTACCCCTATGCTTCGCACAACCCAGAGACTAACAGCCACTTTTATTAAAAGCTAAAGACTCTTCGAAGATTATCCCTGCGTATCCTATTCCAAACAACAATGCCATAGCAACATCCTGTATCATTACATTGTCCACTTATAAGCATATTTTTGAGATTGAAACCCAAAAGGAGGGTTGAGTGGGCAAGAACCTGATTAGCAGCGACCCAGGAATGATTAATGGCAGCAGCATCTGTTCATGATGATGTTGTTTCTCTAATCCAAGGATGAGTTCCCATAAAGAGCAACAAGAGAAGCTCTGTTATTGTTATTATTAGCATTGGTTTGTTGTTCACCGTCTGAGAAGTCCATCTCTGTCTCCATAGCCTCTGCCATTGGCTATTCACTGTCACAAAGAGAATAAAAGAGACATAGCCAAAAATTAATCTATAGCCCAAACAAAATTAGAAAAAAATATATATTAGCTCTAAGTAGTCTCTGGTTCGAAGTGTCAGCTCCTTCATCATGGCTATACCTTTCAGTAGTTGCTCCAATTCTTCCAAAAACGCTGCAAAATGTTTCCAAAATTAACAAAAAAAAGAAAGCAATTCATGTAATCGGCTCTTGAATATTACTAAACTCATCACTAATGAAACATATATGAGCCTAATTAAAATAGCGAGAACAAAGCTCCAAGTGAACAAGTTACATGAACAAACAAAAACCATTCTTACATGTA